GATGTGAGTCTATCTCTAGTCCTTTCTCTGGTCCTGTCTTCTGGAATGACCTTGGGCCTGTGTTGTGGTCTTATTTTCAATCCTGTCTCTGGGCCTTTCTCCTGCTGCTTCCGTTTGGACCATCGGGATGGATCTGAGACCTTTTTCACTGTTTGCTGCATCTTGCACAGGTTTCTTTGTTCTGTGTGGTGACCCACTCACCGCATTGCATCCCTGACCAAATGTATTGTTTTCTCTCCTGCTTCTTCATCTTGGTTGCAACACCACCCGCCACATTCCATACAGCCCTTGGATTTAATACTTTAATCCTCTTGTATCTTACCATGCTATGATTTGATGTTCCTTAGGCAGCAACAAATTTTTATTTCCATTTTAAAGTTAGCTGTATCCTCTACTACTTAGGCTTTTACGAAATTTTACCTTTATAGTTAAAACTAAATACCTTTTTGGCACTATGGATTTCTTTCCATGCACCTGCTCTACTGCAGTAGGCATTCAACAAGGGACTGTTCTCCCTCTCTTTTTGCTGATGCTGGTGAAACAGGCAAGGCCAATAGAGCACAGCTGGTTCTTGTACTGAACTCAGTATTTTAGATCATCGTTAGAACTGAAAGGTGATAATCAACAGCTTTTTATCTGCTTTTCCTGGACTTTGTCTTCTTGACTTCCAAAGGATGCAGGTGATCTGTTTATAAACACGGTCTTGTATGGGATAGGTGCCTCCCTGATCTAAGCTCTGGGCCATATTCTACAGAAACTTTCTGCAAGGTCAGGATTCATCCTCTTCTACCACAGAGTCTACAGGAATAAAAAGGAAGTGATAGGCAGATGATTAAAAGAGGTAAATATTCAGGACTGTAACATCATTTGGCTCTATGAGTAAAATGTAAATGAATATAAACAGATGCTCTGTGTATGCATTTACTTTTAAAGGTGTTCAGATGTTGTCATCCTGTCTTCAATTAAATAACTATAACCACTGCATAAATTGCAAACAGCACAAATTCATGGATGACAACTTCAGCTGAGACAGGCTTGTCTTCCTCAGCTTGCTCTGTAGTCAGCAGAGGTGCTCCATCATAGTTCAAAGCAGCAACTTAGGTTCTGAGTCACAAGCCAGGAGCTTCTCTCTCCTTCTCTTAGATGATGAAGTCTGAAGGACTTGTCTCCCCAGCTAAAGTTAGTGTTTGTAAAGATCCCAAAAATGGTTGATGAGTCTGAGACTTATTAGGATTTTACCTGTAAGTTATTTGCCATTAAAAAGAAAAAGGCAACTGTCTGTGGTATTTTTCCCACAATGCCGTACTGTTACAAACAGCATAAAGCATAGGCATGTTTCTCTTTAATTTACTGTATAGTTGTCAGCATCACCAGTGTTTATAGTTACAAGACAAAATTAAGGAAAAAACTGAAAAAAATTTGAATTTTACTATTATTTTCAAGTGTTTGAATTTTTAATTGCATATGACTGCACATTACTATGTTGTCAAATATCTGTGCAAGATTATGGCACAGTCTTAACAAGATCTCTTTCTGCTTGATATTGCAGTGGTTACATATCATCTAAGAGTATTTTCTAGAAATATTTTGAGTGAGAGAAATTTAGTGCATATGACTGCGTGTGTACATGGTACTCATGGTGACACAGGGGACAGATCCCTTCTCTGGTCGTTGCAGAATGTCCAGCAGGGAGAGAACGATGAGGTATTCTGTCTTTAAAATTTATCCTTTAATCCATTCTTGTACTTCCTATGTACTATTTTCAAATCTTCCTAGACACTTAAGTAATATAGTTTAAGATTGTAATACTGCATAATTTTATTTCAGTCATTTCTAGTTACCGTGGATGCTGTTGAATTGGGAGAACTGGACAAAGTTGTTCTTTTGATCAGCAGTAAAACAGGTAAAGTACTTTTGCTGCTCTCTAAAGTCAGTGATGTGAATCACACAGCTAGCCTCCTGTTAAAAGCAATGAAATCCCTGCCAGAGTTAAATCCTGATTAATTTCCTTTAGCTATTTTTGTTAAAAGGTGATATTATATAAAGCAAAATCCTACATTTTGACACATTAAACCCTTGGATCTAAAGGCTATATCATTATTTTATCAAGAAAGTAAACTATTCCTTTCCATACAAGAAAGAAAAAAGGAAAATTAGGATGAATAATTATATTCCATGATTAATACGCTATCTATTAATAAGCAATCTAGGAGAATAATTATAACTCACGTAAGAAACTGGTATTTAATTTTCCTTTTGTGGTTCAGTTATTTTCACTGTTTTCCCCACCTGTTCTGTTTCCTTCCTGTGACATTCGGAGGTGGATTTTACTCCTATTAGGCAATCTGCCCTCTTGTCACGGAATTTTATTAAAATCATCATAAATTTAACATCCTTTGCCTCATCTGTAGGGTGAGGGTAGCTATCACGCTACTAAGGAATATCCAAAGAATTAATTCTAAAACTTTCTGAAGTCCTTTAATGAAGTTTGCTATATAATTGCAAATTGTTACTTAGTACGTATTACAGTTGACCATTTTCAGACAGTTTTCTAGGAAAACAAGGGTTCTGTGTTTGTACTTTATCTGTCTTTATTGTTTGCCCATCTGTTGGCTCCTCATAATAACCTTTTAGACTCACCATCCAATTTCAACCACATCTGTAAAATGTGTATAGACGTCAAAGACATTTGGACATGTAGTGTTTACATACCTGTTGGCTGGTCAACACCTCCTGCTCCACAGCATGGTCTACTTCAGCCACTGAGGGCTTCAGAGTGGGGAGGCTGGTGAGGGCATGGTGTGGAGCTGCACTTTAACTGTAGAGTGGAAGGGAAGGAGAGGGATAGTCCTGCCATGCTGCTGTAGGGGCGCAAGCACTTTAGATGAGTAAGGGTGTCCATATTCATCTAAACTTGTCTGGGCTGGGACTAGTTTGTATCAAAACTTTGAACGAAAAATCCGCAAACACAAAAGCACTTATAAAGTCAGATGAGGGTGTTGGTGGATGAGAAGCTCAACATGAGGCTGCAATGTGCGCTGGCAGCCCAGAAAGCCAACCATATCCTGGGCTGCATCAAAAGAAGCATGACCAGCAGGTCAAGGGAGGTGATTCTGCCCCTCTGCTCCGCTCTGGTGAGACCCCACCTGGCGTACTGTATCCAGCTCTGGAGCTACCAACATAAGAAGGACATAGGCCTTTTGGAGCAAGTCCAGAGGAGGGCTGTGAAGACGATCAGAGGGCTGAAGCACCTCTCCTATGAAAGCAGGCTGAGAGAGTTGGTGTTGTTCAGCCTGGAGAAGAGAAGGCTCCGGGGAGACCTTATAATGTCATTTCAGTACCTGAAAGGAGCCTACAGGAGAGATGGGGAGGGACTCTTTATCAGGGAGTGGAGTGATAGGACGAGGGGTAACAGTTTTAAACTAAAAGAGGATAGATTTAGGTTAAATATCTAATATCTAAAATCTACATCTAATAGATATAGATATTAGGAAGAAATTATTTACTGTGAGGGTGTTGAAGCACTGGAACAGGTTGCCCAGAGAAGCTGTGGATGCCCCATCCCTGGAGGGGTTCGAGGGCAGGCTGGGTGGGGCGTTGAGCAACTTGGTCTGCCCATGGCAGGGGGGCTGGAACTAGATGATCTTTAAGGTCTCTTCCAACTCTAACCAGTCTATGATTCTGTGATATGTACCCTGCATAACTGGTCAGCCCAGGCAGAGTGTTGCTCTAATGCATTTGTGCTTCTTCAAGTATTGTTTTAAGATCAGGTGGTTTGAGACCCCTTCCTGAAGCTTCTGACTCTCTCCATGCACTGTCCAGGCAGGTCATGAGCACTCCCCAGGAGCCTGAACCTATTAATTTAGACTTCTATTGATATAATTAAAGGGACTTGGACAGTAGTAGAAGATATTGGGTTGCAATTTGCTAACAGGGCTGAAGAGAAAAACATTGGAAGGGAAAATTAATAGTCTTCATGACTGATGAGTGACAAGAAATCCAGGCTACTGTTATAGCCAGTGTGTAACTGAAGTCCCCAGCAGAAAATTCAAAAGGAAGTGTAAGTCAGAGAGCAATCCTACTCAAACATCAGAGCTATACAGTAAGTTGCTGAACTTCCTTCATACCTCCCATCTTACAAGATCCTCTTTGTGCTGCATGTGGAATGGAGATCAAACCCTCTTGTCAACCTGTCACTGAGGAGAAAGCACCAGATATGTATGTCTGCTCTTCCTCCTCAACTGTGCCTGCCTGAGTCATGCTGAATCTTTTCTGCATGCCTGTCCAGGGACAGTGAGGACAACACTCCTTTGTGTCACTAAGACAAAGGAAATGCTTACTCCTAAATTTCTAAGTTGGGTTTCAAATAAGAACAAAATAAGGGCTGTTATGATGATTCCAAGATTTTTAAGTCAATTGCTGGTATTAATAAATTATATTTTAATGCGGTAGGAATGACACCATTATATCAACAACAGGCTCTACATAATTCCTAGACGTGCAGTACAACATTTTCACTACACTTTATTTCCTTCTTTGTAGACTGCAAAGTGGACATTAAAAAATTGCATTTGAAAGAAGCTGTAAAGGAGCATCCTATCTATGTATTTGAAGTGAATGAGTAAGTATGTTATATAAGGCTAGTCATTTTTTAGTCATTTTGTAGTATAATAGTTGAAAACACTGAGTGGGCATTGGATTAAGGTAGCTGTCACACTATGGTTCAATCAATGGATATTTTTAAAGTCAGTTCGCCTTTAACTGTCCCACATTAATTCATAGGATTTTTTGATTTAATATACGATTTACTTACCACAAAAACATATGTGGTTTTGTTTTTCAGAACGTTTTCTGTGAATGCAAATAAGCCAGAAATACAGAGAGAAATCCCAGTATCTTTTGTTATTAGAGGAGACAAAGAAAAGAATGGCATTGATAACAACTTACATAAAGAAGGAAGCGAAGCAAGAAATCTGACAGAGTATACTATTAAAGTATACACAGGTGACCAAAGGGGAGCAGGGACTGATGCCAACGTGCATATTATTTTATTTGGGAATGAGGACAAGTCTGAGGTATTTCAACTCTCTCAGCCACTGGAGCACCAAGACCCCTTTGAAAGAGGAAAGGTGAGTACATAGATTTTATAGGATGTGTCCATTTCTGCACTGGGAAAGCGAACTTTAAATCTATGCAAGATCTTTACAGAACTTAAGGCATTTGTCCTGTTTTCCACAACGCTAGGTGAGATACAGTCTCAGTTATCTCTGTGTTTTCACCAGAGTAACCAAAGGACATTTTATTTCTATTGTATCTAGCCGACTGTTGATCTTCTGTCTCATAGTCCCAAATACATGCCATATTGCACCCACTCATCTGCCCAGTTACGCATTCCCTTCATCTGAAATGCACAACACGCATTGCCGGTGCATGTGTATGTACGTGCAATACCCCTTGCTGTTGCACAAACTTTGAGTATTGTGCTTGAGAATACATCAGTCTCTTACATCCCATCATTTTACTTTGCCATGGAAACTGATGCTGTGAGCCTCACCGAACGTATAAGCCTATAACCAGATAAAATGGAACCATGCACATCAACCTGATTCTGATATCCATCATGCTTCAGGCTATTCAGAGACCCCTCATTCAGATATAGATATTTGCATAAGAATGCTGATTCTCCACAGGATGTCCTAGTATCTTCGCAGAATGTTCTTCTGTTTTAATAAACATATTACTGTGGCAAAGGAATTGCTCCATTTGCTCACCACCTGTGCAATGGAGTGTAATGATGGTTACCCTTATGGGGCAAGAAATAAATATATTTTCTATTTCTTTCTCCTGTGGATTGCTTGAAAAGTAATGACTGAATAATTAAAACTCCAGTTAAAATATCTTCCTTATGAGATTCACCTCATTATCTCCAGTGGTACTAAACATCTTTTTACTTGCAGTTGTTCTGAGTTGTTTAGCCAGCACATCCGTGAATATCTTCTAAAAGGTCTTTACCCACGTATTTTCCTCCATACTGAGGAGGTTAATAAATCTAGTTACCTATTGGCACAAGGAGTAAGAAAGAGAGTGTCTTGACTAGTAATTCCTTTTGCCTTGTTGCAGGAGTTGTCATTGGTGTTTTCAAAAGACGAGTAGATACATAGAAATCTGATTAGCAATCCAGCTAACTCAGTGGGTAGCCAGTGATATCAAGCATCTTATGAAAAAAGGATCTCATTTTAGAAAAAATCTGTAATATGGAACAAGTTAATATTTTAACTTTAAATATAGAGTATTTGAGAGAGACAATGGTATGTGTAGCAAAAGCCTTTATCTTTTATGTTCTTGAATTTATGTATCGTATACTGAAAACATTTTCGCTTTCTCAATGGTATCAGTTGAGAATTTGTAAGCAAGGAAAAGTATTTTTCTAGTAAATGAAAGTCAGGAAGGAGGTCGGGATTGTCCTATTATAAGTTGAAAAGTGAATCTTTTATGTTTAAACTGAGCCATAGTAGGAGATGATGTGTACCACAGATCTTCAGTAAGGAAAATAAACCACATCAGGTGTCAGCCACCTATTTTGAATTGATGTTATTGCACTTGAATTAGTCTCAGAACTGACCTAAACAGATGTATAAGTTTCCAGACACTGGTGTATTATTTTTAATAACTGCTTTTTAATATTAAAGGTTGATACATTCAAGATTACGACAAAAAATTTAGGCAGCCTACACTCAATTGAAATTGGTCATGATGGGAAAGGATTTGGTGAGTATAGTGCCTGAGTGCAATAGCCTTGTAAAAATCTTCTGCTTAAATATCTGCCTGTCACTTAGAAAGGTTTTTGAAGTCATGCTCCTGCTAGAGCTAGCTAATACAAATCTGTATACAGATGAGGGCAGTTTGACTGCTCTTGCTTACACCCCCTCAGTCTCTATCACATTTTGCTTGACTTTACCTTGATTTTTTTTTTTTTCAACAGAGAAGAGATCTAGTTAGCATAAACCTCAGAAGGGTTTATCCTTCAAACATTGCTCAGCCAAAACTCCTATTAGATGCCTTAAATAACGGAGGATTGAATTTTCAAACTGCAGGCTAAACTTTCCATGCTTTGAACATTACCTAAGAAATGTCTGGGCAAGTTTGGAACTCTGGTCAAAGCATGCTGTAGCTCCCTCTGACACACACAGAGCTTTTCTTCTTGTGGAAGCTGAACTATGAGACAAACACTGGTGGGCACCAGGTCTTGCCCTGATGTCAAGTTACGACTGGGCTATAGTATATATCCACACATGGTGATGGAAACTGTTTCTGTGTACAGTGTATTACACATAACCTCTAAAACCTGAATCTTACCAAAAATAAGATGGGAGACTAGGGCATACAATATTTTGATCTTACATTTAGCAGTGCTAAATAACCCTAGAGATGCACAAATATATAAACGGGATGTGCAGACAATGTACAGCTTGGGTCAAAAATGTCTGATTGTATTGAGATATTCTAGTCAGGTGCCTAGAAGGAATGGGTTTAGGTTTAATACAACCTGATTTATCTAAGTGCATGAGCCACTACAAGGTGGCAAGTGTTTATCATATCTAGGATGAATCAAGCAAAATTCTGCAAATAGCAGTTCCTATTGAGGCAAAAGATGAACAAGTTTTTTTCTAACTACCCAGTCATGTTGTACATGTTATGGTATTGAAAACTCAAAAAGAACAACCACCACACCTGTTGAAATACCTAAAACAAATAAAATCCTCCTGCTGACTTTCATCTTGCTCGTGTTAGCTGCTGTACACACACACAATCCAACTAAGAACTGATCTGGGAAGGGAACTCCACAGCAGCAGACTTCTGGCACGCTGAGAGTTGCACAGAAGTCTGCGGGGGAAATATAGGTTGAACTTGTATTTCCTGGGTCCCAAACCATCAACAATATCCCAACCATCAACAATCTTTCCTCTCTTTGTCCTGATCAACATCACATAGCTGCTAACAGTGCCTTTCCAGCACAGCTGGTGTGTGTTGATTCATCTTACATCCGTGACCACCTTCCTCCAAATTTTCCTCTGAAAATATCTGCAAGTGTCTTTTGTCACATCAGCTGTTATCCTCCCCAGCATCCTCAAATGTAACACCTCTTTGAAATGTTTCATCTGTTTGCTAATCTTTCCTAGCTGCCTCTAGATTTCTCTGTACCTGGAGATTTCAGTGAGGTCTGTTGGAGTTCTATCAACAAAGGATAAAGCATCAGATTTTAAATTTTTCAGGAGAGCAAACACGCCTTTATATTCATTTGTAAAGAGCCGTGTAAATTTGAGAGACTGTACATTTTTATTGCTGATAATCTTGACTCTGAATTACAGAGTTTTCATGAAAGGTCATATATTCCGAGTAGAGTCTATGATATATTAAACCAATCACAAGATTTCATTAAAGAAGTTCCAAAAGTACCTTACAATATCAATAAATGACTCTTGTAAATTGAAGATGAAAAATGTAGACCCCTTTATGGCTTAGTTATACTAGCTAATTGTTTGAAAATGTGCATGAAAAGTGAGAAACATCACTATGCCCTTATGTTTTATCTAAATTGGTAGAATTAGCAAAAATTTTTATATTACATTTTTAGCCTATTTACAAATAAAAATATTTTTATTGGTTTTAGCCTACTTAATATGTTGTCCAAGTATTTGAAAACCAAAATAATTTCTTAGAATGTAGTATTTTATCTGTGGGACATGCAAGGAATACCAAAAAGGTTTCAGCTACTAGCGGTATATCCTAATTAGTTTTTAAACGTTGTCATTAAGTATTTGCATTGGCAAACATGACTAAAGATGTCAGCACAAACATTGTCTATCTATAATAAAGGTGTGGTTTTTTTAAACCTTCATATTTTAATATTCTATGAAATAAAATTCTATAGCACAAATACGCAGGTATTTTTCACGCAGCAAAATAGGAGATTATAGTAGAATACTAAATACATTGTTAAAGCTAAAACAGATGAGTGTGTTGGCCTAAATGGAGATGCTATTCTGAATCATGACTGCTGGAGAAATATGGATATGAGAAGAATTCAGTATAAATATATAAATATATTAATTAGAAAGAAGTAGCAGAATTTCTGTTTTCCTACTGTTTAAGGGCTTGGGTTAACATTAAAGAAATTACATCTACTGACAAAGTCTATCTGTTTTTATTGTTTTGGTGGACACTGAAGATCAAAGCCCACCAGGATTGTATTTTGAGTGCACTTCAGAGTACCAAAAAAGGGCAAAATGGGATTTCAAGAATTTATTCAATATTACCATGCACTCTGTTTCATTAGTCTTACTGCTTGTTCTGTTTAATATGGGAAAATGAGTTAAGTTGTAATAAAAATCTTCCTTTATATTTTCCGTCAAATATATCAAAGACCTTCTCTGTAGAATTGAGAGTAGTTGGTAGTAATTTGAATCATCTACATTTCAGTTTTATTATTGATATTGAATACTTTAGGATGTACTGAATGACACAGGGTTTGGAAATGAAACCAGAAACCTTTTTTATGCTTCATTTGTGTTTTGGTTATATTAAATTTGTTCTCTCTTTTTTTTTTTTTTTTTCCTTTTACAGCGAGTGGCTGGTTTCTAGAAAAAGTAGAAATCACAGATGCATCTAAGAATTCAGTGTATTGCTTCAACTGTAACAGGTGAGTAGATCAGTTCATCACCACTCTGTAGGTGTTGTTTTCGTTATAACAAGAATTAGTAGTAGTCTTTTTAGTCTCTCAGTTGTTTCTCTTTTGGTTTCCTAAAACAGTGAGAATTTTTTAACTGTGTTCCTATCAGTTACTTGGTAACTATCATCTCCAGTAACTTTTCAACCCTTTGGACAATTTCAATCTAATTTGTGAGAAGAATATTTAGAGGAAGACACTATGTTTTTCCAAGTTACTAAAACTGGATGACTATAGAAGGGAGAGACACAATTTAGTGCTTTCGCCAAGAGAAGATGCTAGTATGCCATTTTCAAGGGGTAGAAGCTGTCTGCTGAACCTTCACGCAACTATAGGCACATATGTAGCTCTGACAAACACATCATGGGTAGGCAAACAGGCAACGGAGGGAATCAGAAATATGGGGTGGTGGGAGGATGGTAGGTTATGGTGGTATAGATACAAAACCGGAGAAAAAGTAGTGCATTTATTTTATTAAGCTCAAGCAACATTAGAATCCTTCTGTTTCGGTGTCTGCTTAGTATGGGTCTAAGGCACATTCAACAAACAGGGTAAAGATAAAAGAAACCTTTTTATATTGTAATGTAAGAGGATAATGATCTACATTATGACATTTATTTGGATAAAGCAGTGCTGGGCTAAAGGGCTTCTAATGCACACTTCAGTCTGCCTCAAACTGAAATAATATACTTTCAGAAATTGGTAGTTAAATTTAAAGGTATATTTGGAGGGACTGTTCACTACAATATGCAGTTTATAGTTTAAAAAATTTCAGAATAAACAACAGAAGCAACAAACACATTCATCTCTTTCTAAGTGTAAAGTAGATTTTTAAGGTATCTGGTGAACAGACAAGTGTGAAAACTCACAAGTTCCCTAAATCTAGAAAGAGGGATGTTACCCAGTGGTTTAAAAACGAAAATGGTAGCCAAGAATATTTAATTTTATCCTTCCCCTAAATGTTCCAGTAAACTTGACAGTTCATGGAAGCCAGATCCCAACCCTGTACCCCAAAACCCCAAATTTTTTTAAGTTCTTGGATAGTCAGTTGGACTCTACAGATTAAGTCATGAGAATCTGTAGCTGTTACCAACCTCAACAACATGGAACTTCTTCCAACAACATTAAGCTTCTTTTCATTAAACTTCTAAACACATGCTCAGGTACAATCTAATCTTCTAAATACCTAAATTTAGGATAGTGGGCATGAGCAAAAGTCCTTAGACCACAGTATCTCTCAGGTGTGCAACACAATCCATGATGGGATTTTCAGTTGATGTCACTCCACCTCTTTTGCTTGTAAGAGTTCTCAGACCACACCAGTCAGAGGAAGATTCTTCAAAAAGATAGCTTGCAACAAACATTTTTTTTCCAGAGAGATTTTTTTTCCAATTTTATTTAAAGCCTCATGATAAAAACACAAAGGTATGTAAGAGACCCATTTGGAGCAAGAACTTGAATCACATCACTGATGTGGGGAAATGACTGACAGAGGTTGATTCTACAGACTGCTGACTAGGACATTTTACTGGGACCTTGGTGGGTTAGAGCCATGTCCTTACCCTAATGTATATCTACGTACTCAAAATGGAAGAATTTCAGTAGGAGAGATAAGGAGGTCCACCTCAGAGTACTCAGTGACCCGGAGGTTATGGAGCACTCCTGGGATATGGGAAACTATAAGTTCATGTCCCTGTTCCAGCTCACACATGGAGCTTCTCATCTCATGGCCTACTGTGTAAACAGGGAATAGGTTTATTCTCTCAAAAAGGAAGGACTCCTCTAAAACAAAAGCTGTGTCTAAAAGATACTCATTACTGATAAACCTGAAAGGAGGTGGGCATCCTTTACTGACCCATTTAAATGTGTGTTGTCTAGCTTACAAGTCACATCTTTCCTTGGCTCTGGGACTTCCATGAGCAATTTTATTTGCCAAGATTAGTTGTGTTTCAGCGTTTCAGCCTGGGACTGTTTAGCTTCAGCCATATCTCCAAGCTGTTCAACGGCACAACTTCAAATGTTGCTACAGCATTAATCCTATACTGGCTGGGAATCCCTCCCATACTAGATCCTTGGTAGACATCACATCAGATAGTCCATCATAAGCCGTGCAGAAGTGTCAAAAGCTTTTTAACTCTCTTTGGAAATGAGTATCATTGCCTCCAGGGTTCCAGTTCACATCAATCTACCTGAGCTTTGCACTCAGGCTCATTTCCCCATATAGTCAATAATAAACTCCGTAGGCTCTTACAGAGCAGTGACTGGGGCCACCATGCAACTCAGTGTTTGTCTCATATCAAGAGATATGAGAAATAAACAGTCCCTGGAATGGGGTACTTCGACAATAACCCACTATTCCAAAACAGGTGCCCTTACTCTAAATTATTCTGATTTTATGCCACTCAATGAAACAATCTACTTGCAACCTATATAACCAACAAATGAAATTAATGTATATTTCATAAATGTATTTCTGAAGTTAATTACACTTCTAAATTAGCATATATAGATCTAAAAAAAAAATATTAAAAATCACTATTTTCTACAAACTGGCTACTGCTTCTGTATAAAACAACGTAAGAACTCTTCTAGAAATCCAAAGGTGCAGAGGCAGGCTCTCATGATTTGTTTGTTAAATTTTATATGTTTTGTACCTCTGACAGATGTTTATGTTTTTCCCTTAAGGTGGCTTGCTGAGGACGAAAGCGATGGCCGCACTGTAGTGCAACTTTATCCACAGCTGCTTGATTTCTGATTCTTTCTGAGTGTGTTGCTTCTCCAAGTTCACGCGGATTTGATTTACTTGTATTTTATCATTTTGAAGGTATTGTAATTACTGTGAAGGAATGTCAAAACAATGCATTAAAAACATCACAGTAAATTAAACACGTCTAATGTGAGCACAGCATTCCGATCCTATTAGAGATGCTCAAAAACGTCGCATGACTGAAATTGAGAAAAAAATTTAAACCTGTAACATGGCTCTGTGAACTTGATCTGAGCATTCATAATGGTAGGCTCGTGTAGTAACATACTCAAACATTTTCGTTTCAGTAATAATTTGTGGGTAAGTTAAATGTAGCTCTATGGTCACATCTGTCAATATTTATTAATTTGATAAATCTGTTTAAACTTCAACATCTGTTAAAATTTAGATGTTCTCAAAATCATTTTTCGAACAAACTGCACCAACCCTTCAGCCTTACCACATATTGCTTCCTTTTTCTATGAGACCCTAACAGAGGCTAATAAAGAATTTGTTATTCAGGAGTTTGCCCTGTGTCAGTCAGCCTCCCGCTGACATTTGATTGTAGAATCTTGTAGCTGAGCCAGAACCTCAGCTGAGAACCTTTAGATCCAAAGGGTGCCTTAAGAGAGGCTGTTATCAGTACCACTGCAATAGCTCACTGGCAGCTCCCTGCTCAGCTTGATGACTTCTGCAGTGCCCACTCTTAGCCACCTTAACTAGCTTTCCAGGGCTACATGTGTGAATGCCTTCACTTAAACAAAACAACAACAAAAAAAAAGAAAACAAAGAAAAAAAGCCCAATTCTTCTTGAAAATATGTGTGAAAGCCTTTACTTAAACAAAACAAAAAACAAAACAAAACAAACAACAACAACAAAAAAAAAACAACAAAAACCAACCCAAAGAAAAAAAGCCCAATTCTTCTTGAAAACACACAATAAATAGAAACATACTTATCTAGAAAGGCACAAATTAATGTTTGATTTGGTAGGCTTTGACATTGCCAGAATTGACTCAGGAAGGGTTTAGGATACAGACGAGTCTGAAATGAAATCACAACTTTCACACCACCTGAAGTTTTGTGTATGTGATCAGAATACAAATGCCGTATATAAGCTACATAGGGCATCCCTCTGTTTAATCAAGGACCTTTGGTACCTCCAAAATTTAAAATCTGTATGAAGATCTGAATTTTAGACCCGTTTCACCCTCAAGGCACTACCATGTTCTGTAGCAGCAATGTGCTTTCTATAATTATAAGAATTAAATTAATTTCTAATCTGTGCTGGTGAAATATTGTCTGGCTATCTTTTTAATATGTTTAAAGTTTATTTACATTATTCTGTGAAATGAGGAATGTTGGCCAGTATCTGCATGGGTGATGAGATTCCAGTTGTTTGACACGAAAAAATAATAAACACGTATAATGGGTCTTGGCAGGTAATTTCATTTTTATCTACCGTATACGTCATCAAAGGGAGAGCTAATGCGAGGTGTGGATGTGATCGGAGTGAGCAATGGAAGAGAGTCAATTTCTTCTAAAAGTTCTCTTTTTCCTCACAGAGCTACCACACACACTGGAATGGATTTGAAATCGTATCCCCAGAGCGCGCAGTTCACTTACTCAGTATCAGTATTCATTACACTGAATCACTTCGTTGTGATCTATTATGTGATTTGTTTCATTATTATGTCTTTCATTAATAGTTTGTAATATTAGCTCTCTTTGATGCCATTTCTGATTTATCAAGTGTAAATGATGCCTTCCTAATCTCTTTCTCATTACATGGATGCCCTCCTTCAGCAGCTGCCTTCTGTATTTGCAAATTATTCCCTCTACCTATCCAGGGTACAGATCAGGGGCTGGATTCTCTTCCCTGGACCCAGAGCCATGGAAACACCCCAACCCTTTCACTAACAGGGCCACCTCAGCAGAAGGCTTCGTTTCAAGAGCACGGTGGGTGCCTGCAGCACATATTAGCAGGGGATTGCACTTTGGTAAGAAAACATAAAGACTGTAAGACCCCTCTTCTTAGGTCTGGCTTGGAAGACGTGCCATTGGCATATTTATTTAGCTTGTGACTTAGTGCCAAACCCCAAACTTGCCTCTTCCACATGGTACACAGGGATGTCTGCTGTGTTTGGCACAGAAGCCACTTAATCTCTGTCCCTTGCAAAATCCCTTGCAAATGGGAGAAATTTTCAACAAAATTGCTGGCTAAAGACAGAGACGTGACAGAGCTGCCACCCCACGTGTGCTCTGCTGTTGCTGCACAGCAAGGTTGCTGCCTTGCTTTTTTTCCTCCCAGCACCCTGCCCTGCCTGTGGAGAACCTGGGCAGATATTGACACCACTGATGGCTCCACGGGGAACGGAGATGTAGCGTGGAAAAGAGACTGCCCGGGTCAACAAGAAACCCAGGCATTTGGCACCCGTGGGAGCCTTGGAAGGAGCCATGAAATAACTCAATCGGCTGAAAGAGGTAAGGCTGGAGTGGAGAGAAGGGTTTGACTTCTGCTGTCTCTCCCTGCTGCATCCTGTCCTTGAAGATCTGTGTGAAGGCAGTGGCTAGAGGATTTTGCTATGATGGTGGTGGTGATGATGATGATAATGCAAGAACATTTAATTTTGCACTGCAGAGAAAGCCTCAAGCTGGAGCTGGTGCTAAAATATAGAGCCTGAAGACCATAACTCAGACTCTTAGACATAACGGAGTCTGATAGCGTCCATTTAGGGTCCAGTATTAGTTAACTCTATCTTTCCTTCCTTATCCACTTCTCCTGGTGTGCTTTTATATACATTATTAAGTTGATCTAGGTGACATATTTCTGCCCATTTAAGCCCTTAAGCATTTCAGTTTCTTTTGCTGATGATGTTATGGATTTGAAAAAAAATATAACCATGTTCTGACTGGTTCATTGGACCATTTAATGTTCTCCCAGCAGCTCCAAGTGTATTGCCTTGCTGAAACTCATACAAAAGAAAGGATTCTCTCCTCTTAAGTACATATGAGCAGTTATATTGCATCTATCCATCCTGTAGTTTGTCAGTTGTGGAAAAGGAATGAGAATAAGAAAAAAAGGAGGTACCAAGTGCTCCTTTGAGTTCCTTTAGACATCTTGGATGAATAACATCTAGTCCTGGTGGGTTGTTAGTATTTATAAATGTGTTTGCAGATATAAACATCCTCTGCTCACACATCAATTTAAAATGGTCCCTTGGACATCTCCTCCTCCATGAGGAACAGCAGTAGTCTGGAAAAGTCCATAAACACCTCCGCACTGAGCAGCGCAAAGCAGCCTCAGAACTTGCTGTGCCGTGGCTGAATCTTTGTTTTACAATTCTTTTGCGTGGCATGAATTAGTTTTAAACAGGTGAAGCAAAAAGGGGAAAGAAAACGGGACTTTTCATTTTCTTCTTCAAACTTTTGAAAATTCTTAATTACATCTTAGATTCAGTGTCATAGGGCATGTTAATACCCTCTTAGGCGGTCCATAAAAGCCTTTCCCATTTATGACAAAATGCTTGGTTGTTGGTTGGTTTCTGGATGCTCGATGGCAGTGAGAGAGTTGTGGGCATGGTACAAAGCCTGGCTGCCAGCTCGCTTCCTGGGATGACTTCCCATATGTCTATGGCTTCTGCTATCACTCGTTATATATTTATGTCTCTATTTGACAATATTTTAAAATACATACCGCGAAGTAACTTGAAGGTAACTGACATCCATTTCTAAATAATAAACGTAAAATTTAGAAACACCGAGTTAAGTTTTTCAAAAATTCTAAGAAATAATTTCTTCTTTCATACTTAATATTAAAACCCATATACTGTCATCAAAGCAGGGCTGTTCTCAGTCCTTCTGGCTGCTTAAACCTGGCATTTATTTATTTATCTATCTTTTTATTTAGAGTGTACAGTTGAATGTATTTACATGTTTTTAATCTTCAGACATTCTGGAAATAAAATAAAAGAGACCACAGCATTAATTCACCAGGAAATTTAAACAGGTGGCTACAATGTAACTATATGCCTAAACCATAAGTATATAAACAGTCCCACTAAGTTTGATTTAGAGGCTTCTTAAAGTTTGGTGTGCACCTAAGAAGCCTGATATGTTGCACCTCTTCCCTTCCAGATGTCATCTGGTGGGTTCGTATGTCTTGGCATTTTCACAGGAACCCTCACGCTACAGAAAAGAGATTTAGGTGTACAAAATGCACATATCAGCATCAGGATATTATAAAGCAAATTTCTGAAACCAGGAAACATTCCAGAGTATTTTTTTTAATTGTAAAAGTGGGCTAGCATATGGAGATACTTGATTCATGCTGCTCTTCTCAATTATAAAGGCAAGTTTATAGTTCAAAAATGCTTCTACGTGAATCTGCATGTATGTCTATAAATAAACCATCTCAGGCTAAAGCAAGCAAGCAGTAACTGCTTCTACTCGATACATTTCAAAAATAAATAGTATTTTAATGTTAATTTTCTAAACAGTGGACCGATTTACCGCTGTATTTCTGATTTGTGCTTATGTTAATTTGCTGAAATATTGGCTTCATCGAAGGGAAATGCCTTCTCCCTTTGCAATGAAGTGTCTCAGTTGTCAGAGCACAGAATGGCATGTGCCTGTTGTGAATGAAGCTATTTGGGGAAAAAGGCAATTAAGTACTATAATGCATAAATATTAAACATATAGCCTGTACTACAACCTCTTCTGGTAACTGTGTACATAGCTTAAACATGAATCTACTGAAAACATCTAACACTTGTGAACATTATGCAGAATAATTCTCACTTGCTGGTTCTAAACCAATTGACTGCAGGTGCCTGTGTGCCTGAGGGCACTATTTTAACATCTAAAACTAGTTGAAGCCAGATGTATGGAAGGCACAGTAGTGAGGCCATCTCAGAGTGAATGAGAAAGTAGGTGTTCACCAGAGTCACCAGTTCTCTCCCTCTCTGGAGACATTCAAAACCCACCTGGACATGTTCCTGTGCAACCTGCTCTGGGTGGACTTGCTTTGGCAGGGGGTAGGACTAGATGATCTCCAGAGGTCCCTTCCAACCCCATATCATTCTGTGATTCTCCATCAGGTCACCCCAGCTTTACGTCAGGCAGATCAAGACAGAGAGAAGCACAGTGCAGGAAAAGGCATTGCGTGCCTGGGGGAAACACAATGTGTATAGGAAGGAAGGAAGGAAAGGAGGGAATGGATGGAAGGAAGGAAGGAACGGAAAGGATGGAAGGAAAAGGAAGGAAGGAAAAGGAAGAAAGGAAGCAAGCAAACCTGCTAGCAGATTCACCAGACCTTCTGGAAGAAGTCACCGGAGAACTTACGTCTTAGGACTTCATTTATTTAATAAAATGTGTATAGGAAGGAAGGAAGGAAGGAAAGGAGGAAGGGAGGGAAAGGGTGGAAGGAAGGAAGGGAGGGAGGGAGGGACGGAAAGGATGGAAGGAAGGAAAAGGAAGGAAGGACGGAAGCAAGCAAACCTGCTAGCAGATTGATCAGACCTTCTGGAAGAAGTCACCAGAGAACTTACGTCTTAGGACTTCATTTATTTCTAAGGGCGGCTGCTCAGAAGCTCTGCTGGGCAGGAGAGACGGGTCCATTGCACGCCCTGCTGGGCCAGCAGGGTTCTACAAAGCTCTTTGATGATGGAGAACTGCTCCCCCATGGAGTGAGTACGATAAGCAAGGAGAGCTTTTGTGTCAAATACTGCCACAGGGTGTCAAATCCAGGTACAATGAACTCGTTCTAAGGCTTCAGTTGCTCTGAGCTAGATGAAAATGCAGACACATTGAGCACCAAAGTGCAATTGTCAAAAGTATTGCCAAACAAAAGAAAATAGATTTGTGAATAGTTTGGAATGAACGCAAGCAAAAATTGATTAGACCCGCAGAGTGTAATGATCTTCTAATGGTGAAATGAGAGAACTACAAGCAAGAGCTCGAGTGTGTTTTGATAGGGCTGTCTCTCCTGTACAGCCCTGAAGAAATAAATACATACTTTAAAGATAAGAGGATTGGAACCCAGAAACATATTTCCTGGACATTTAGGTTTGAGTTGATAACAGTCGACAACGACAAAACAGAAAGACAAAAAAAAAAAAGAAGTATTTCTAAAGTAGACAAAGGTGATTTGATATTGTAAGGTGGGGGGAAGGGGGAAAGGAAAGAGCAATTGCAATTCAGAACAAAGCAAAAGCAGTACTTGTGATACCCATAAAAATGTTTTCTCTAAAGAAAGGCGGAGAAAAAGGAAGCCAAGAATAAAATCTCCTTCAGAGAAAAAGTAGCTTTACATGAGAAATGAACGTGTCTGTACTCAGTTTATGAAATATGTATTGATGTCTGTGATCACATTTTTGCCCTTCAATTATATTTTGTAATTAATAATTTCTGAGGCTTAGTAACAACATTGGCTTGCTGAATGCATGCTGGTTTGTACACCGTGTGTATACAAACTCTCCTGGCCCCGGTACAGCTCCATAGCTTCTGTGCCAGTCTAACAAAGAGGAAATTTGGTTCTGTTTCTTGGAAGCAATTTCTTCAGCACTTGCATATTATTTGGGATCCTTTCCATTTGTTATCTTTTAAACGAGAAAACAAAACAGAAGGCATTCCTCTGGAAGTATCAAACAGCCTTAAATTAAATTTAAATTTAAACGTTGATCTATTGCGCTGCCTTCATTGAACAAACAGCTATTGTTAACATGAAAATCTGTGGGAAAGAATATTATTCCTCTCACAAATGCAACAGTAGCGAGAGGAGAGGAGAGGAGAGGAGAGGAGAGGAGAGGAGGCAAAACAGAAAAATAAAGGGAAGAAAGTATAAAACTCTCCCCATCACAACCAAGTGTCTTGCTAACTGAACAACTTTCAGATTGACAGGTCTGATCCAAAGCCTGCTGTGGTGAACTGGACTCTTGCTAGGTGGTGAATTAACCTCTTTGGTCAAATTCTGCTCCTGAGTGAAGTGCCTGAGGGTAAATATACCAGAAAATTTGTCCTGCATCTGGGGCAGGGAGGAGACAGTGTATGGACACTTGGCCCCAGCAGTTGCCTCCTCCAAGCAGGCTACCATGACCTCTTCAAGACGATGTACAGCTAGACTGACACCATTTATGTTCTTAAATATCTACTGCATTGCTCAGAGGCACCGTCTGCCCTGCTGGTATGTTGGACCTTGATCTTCTCCATTTTATTCCCTCCATCCTGAATATGACACCTTTGAGTTACACTCTTACCATGTCCCAAGTTGTTTAGGTTTGGATTTTGACTCCAGGAGCACAGTGGTTCCTGTGCCAGCACTCGTGTAGCACACTATAACCTCCATTATAAATTTGTAGCATCTTTTAGACTTGTATACGCCAAACAGACTCAATTAAAGTAACTTAAAGTGCACACCGAACCATTCTATTAAAGATGTAACTATAAATAGAATAACACTGGAAACTTGTTGGTGTATATATAAACCACCAACCTGCAGCTAAATTAGCTTCATTATTAAGCACCTTCTCTGCTGACAAGGTAATCTTAAGTGGATATATTGTATTATATATAGGTGCTGACTGAATTATTAAAAGATACCTCGAGAAAGAAGCAATTTGCATTAAAAGTCTAAGGCAATAAAGATCATATGGATTGTAATGAGAACGAAATTAATAGGGGGTTACAAAAGGAACAGAAATTAAAGTACAGATATACCGGTGTAACGGAGACTGCAGAGCAAACGTGTATTATTCAAGAACCATTATGTGATGATGTAATTAAAGACTCTTGTAGTGTGTGATAACATGCAAAATAACAAGCCAAATCGGTTTTAAGTGTGCTCTTCACCTTCCAAAGTTTGATTTTTGTGTGCTTAGCACTCTTTGAAAAATACAGTAATGCATGCTGTAGCCATTCCTTGAAATCTGGGGTATCTATCAGTAAAAGCTAATTCCCGAAAGGCATCTTTATACTTACCATGTACATTTAAGAGACAGAAGGCTGATTTTTCAGCTGTCCATACGACTTCTCTTTAATTAACGAAGTTGAAGGGGCTATATTTAATCACATATTTTAACGTACCAGTGCCCTATCACAGTCTCACTGCTGTTCCTAGTAAGATATTCCAGCAACACGGCTGAACCATCTCACTGCTCTATTTTAAGGAGGGAGCATGAAATATTCCAGAGGCCCAAAAAAAAAGATTAAAAAAAAAAAAAAAAAAAAAGGGTGTAAGAGATCAATCGGTTGCTCATCCCGGACCTTTTGGAGACGCAGGGGGACAGAGAGTGGGTGGCAAAGGGCCCTCCCCGCCCGCACCCCCGAGCCGGGGTGACTCCCGGGGAGAGGAGGCTGGTGGCCTTCGGGGACCCGGTAGCCACCCTACAACCTGCGTGTCCCCCCCCCCGCCAAACAGGGCCGCCCGGGGGGGTGGTTCTGGGGGCTCCCCCCGGGACGGCTCCCCCCGCCGAAGTTGCAAAGTGCAAGCGGGGCCACCGAAACACCCGGGGGAGCTTTTGGGGAGCGGCGGCGGCGCTCCGGGAGCTGCGGGGAGAGGGGCGGGGGCGGAGGCGGGGGCATCCGTCGTGAGTTCGCCCGAGCCAATTTTAGGCTTAAAATACGATTTCTCCACGGGTGGCGGAGGAAAAAGGTGTCTCCTCACCTTCCCCCCCCCCC